GCAGACAACAAACAATGTATGGTGAACCAAATGAACATCAACCAAATCTGTCCCCTGTCCGGTTCACAGGGATTGGGACAGCACAAACTGCACTCCTTGGTGGGTGCAGACATGCCCCCTATTCCCCCTTATCCCGCGGCCGGCAGAGGAATCCTACTCCGTTGGGCTCCTGAGCAAGGCCCTTCACCCCAACTGCTCCAGGGGCGCCGTACAATGGCAGACCCTGCGCTCTGACCCCAAGCTCTCTCCCCGTCTGTGTGTCTCATGGAGAGCAAGATGGGGTATGCAAAAAGATCACTCCTAATGAAAGAAACTGTAAAGGGTTAATAAAGTGATGTTATTCGCTTGCAGCACACAAAACATCCCAGCTCAACATACAACCAGAATGAGCAAAGAGGACCTGCAGATAGGAAGTTCAGAAGTCAGTGAATAAGCAGGGACTGCCAAAACACACTCACCAAAAGATCAACGATTAACTAAAAAAGCAGGCCAGGAATATGAAGAGCACACACACTGTCCCGGCCACGTCTGCGTGTGGTACTTTCTACCTACGGGGAGGGTTACTCTCAGAAAGTATTGCAGAATATTGCTTACTGTTTCTACATAAGGTGCAATCTAATACATTACTCCAATCACCAAACTTAAGATCACTTTCTTTGTAATATTAACACTTAAAAACAGTCCTTCCAGTCTGTATTTTTAAATTTAGGATATAGAAACACTTACTTATTTTGGACTGCTTAAAAATAAAAGGAGCACACTTACTGCTCATTTTATACAAGCATAATTATACAATGTTTAAATGTAAAACCAAGTTTGTATAGAAACCTTTATTTTTGCATTAACTCATTAACTTCAGACAGCAAGGATAATTTATTAAAAGCACCACCTATTAACCCTCACAGTCTTATTTAGTTACTGCAAACAGCTGGTTATAACTCTATTATTTTCTCACTCACATGTCAAGTATAAATTGGAACAGCAGCCTATGCTTAAAAGCACTCACTGTGCTGCCCCATGTGCTTCTGCACATTGAAACTGGAGCATTCAGAGGCTAAACACATTTTCTCCTGTGCAAGATGTGCTTTTACATTTTCCCTGTAACTTCCTTTAAAATAATTAATCCCCTGCTCTTCCATGAGATAAAAGCGGATTTTGCGGTTACAGACTGGGCATCTGTTCCTCACCCAGTCTACACAGACCACCACGCGCAGCTCGCTTAAAATCACTCTCTCCGCTATTTTGACAGGACATGCAGATCAATGTCTTGTCAGATGTGAACAAAAACGGAGTAGTATTTAATTGATCCTAAATTATCTAAAAAGAACCTAAAAACATCATGCCATTATCACCCAGTAACATTTGTAACTGGATCACCTGAATGTTTTCTGTAAACCATCTGTAAACAGATTGCTGGTCCTACACTTTACAGTCAGTTATGTTTATGATCTCACTAGACCAGGTGAAACAAGAACTGTTAGATTATAGACCTAGGAAACTACTACAAAAACATGCAATTATCTTCCCAAATGATATTATACAAGCATGTAACAGAATCCATTCTCAAGAACTGCCTTTTGTTTGCAATGCAATGCTGCTCATGATGTAATATCTCCATAGTTAAGAATATTCTTAATCCTTTAATCGGATACAGAGATGTCAGGTGAACAACTCTAAACATTAAAGGTCTTGGTGAAAATGATGTATATTTAGCAGTTTTCAAACTTCAATTAAAATAATGTCAACAAAATCCTCTCAGACTACTTCAGCAAACAGGCTTTCCTCCCAGGAAAGGAGACAGCTTCAGCCCAAAAAGCAAAGGGTGTTTTCTCTTACAGACTGAACTCAGCCTTAAACACTAATTATCCTGTGTTCGTTCAAGCCAAGAATAATCTGTCTCCACAAGGCACAATTATAGACTATTTCCATCCAACGTACATTGACATTTCCGCACGTAACACAAATACTGCTTTTAAATGGCAACAGACTGAAAATCAAAACAGTACAAGAACGCACATCGCACATGAAAACTGTCTGTTCAGCAGGGGTATCACACAATTGAACTCTCATGCCAAACAGCGAGAACACCACCATATCTACCAGATGCATAACGTAGCTGCTTGCTTTTTTAATACACAGCTGTGGCCACATCTTCAAACTAAACAATTTAAAATAACAGCATGCAGTGCAGCCCTGTGCCTAGATATCATTCCAGCTTTGGGCACAGTCAGCTGAACAGGCCTTGCGCTCCGACTGGTACACATCGTACCTTTACAGAGTACGTCACTTATGACACCACACTCTAGAGCTCCGAGATGAATACTTGGACCAGAACAACAGGCTGCTGCTGTAGGCTATTTTCACCTGCAGATCTGCAATGCGATGGCTTCTAGGAATCAGTGCATTACATTACACCATCCTGTCCAGCTTAACAAAATATAATGTGGAAATCAAAAATTGTACAGATTACAACTTACCGTGGAAAAATAAATTCCCCATACCAACCAGACACAGTCAATAAAAGAAACCATTCCATTTCTCATCTTATATTGGCTGTGGCTCTCATATGTATATGCCATTCATTTTACCACCAGATACCGATTAAACATTCATCTGTTGTGCACTAAAGACATCACAAATCATGACTGCAAGCTGTCCCAAATATGTTTCTTTTAAAAATGCAACACTGACAAAGGAACAGCAGAGCATCTACGTGAATAACCTCAAAATAACCTATTATCAGAGATCACTTTCGTGGCTGTAGTCTACTCCAAACAGGATCTTACTCCCCCACTTAAAAACTGCAAAGATTGCTTTTTTAAATTGACCTCCTCAACGCAGATGATCAGAAACCTAATAAAGTCCTCAAACAGCACCGTGAGACGACGCAGCTACACAGGATTCCTGACAACATCCTGCATCAAGAAGTACTTCTCCTCACAGGAGGAGAGCAGACAGATGTGGTTCTCTCGTCTCACTGAAGGGGCGGTTAGGAGCCTCACGGAAACGGTGCAAATCCTTCGCTTCTCCCGCTCACATCCACGACAAAGACCAGGGGTGAGCCAGCAGCAGGAGAAAGAGAAACCGACCGGAACTCTGCTGTTTTAGCTGGATCAGTAAAGGTGTGAGCGCAGCGCCGAGGACGAAACTAGCTGAGGTACAGACAGTGTTTCAACACGACGCTGCAAGTTCTAGCTGCGCGCTCGACAGTTCCACTCTCTGTATTTTGGTTTTCGACATGAAAGGGTTTGCTTTGCAAAGAACACCCCACACCCCATCACCGGCATTTCTAACACATATCCGTCATGCTGAAAGGGGGCAGGTGACTGGAGCGGTTCTTTAAACAAATTATGCTGGCTACTTTCAGAAGACCATCCAGGAACCAAAGGCAACGGGCCATTAGTGAACCCGCATCAGTGGAGAATAAGAGACATAGCTGATAGCTCTGGGACAGTCTCATAGGAAGGTTATAATACTATCTCCCTTGAACTGAATAGAAACCATATATCTGGACAATTTTTTCTAACTGGAAGCACTGGTGTGTGTGTGTGGGGGGGGGGGGGCAGTTTCATCTGGAATAAAACCACAAAGACTCTGGGATCAGCTGCAATGTGATGTGTTTGGAGCTTGAATAAAGCTAACATTTCAGAGCAATGCTGAACACACAAAAGAGCTGTGTATAAGTAAAGACACCAGGCAGCAAAGGACTTGTTTAGACTTGCCTTTGGGGGAGCTGGTTTTTACAGACAAGCACAAAAAAGATGGAGCAAGCTTACGGAAAACACTACCGTAGAATTCAAAGACAAACTTCAAAATATTGCTCCACCTGTGAATGACTCCAGATTATATGGCTGAACTCAAAAAGGACCGTACAATGCTTTATCACATGCAGTCCAGAGGCCACAAATCAGAGCTGAATTATAAGTCTTCATAAAAGTAAATAATTTCACAGATCAAACTGCTGAGAAAAGGAAATGTTTTGATATCGGAGGTTATGGTGATATTTAAATTTCCATGATTTTTGTCAACTACAAGGAAAGACGTCTTTGCGGTTTAAGGTTTGTCACTAAGGGAATTTATCTTTTTTGGTTTTCATATCAGCTGATGCAAAGCAAATGTGGGAGAAGTGAGTCTTGCTAAAAATGCTCAAAATCTCCGTTTTCTATGTGTGTGTGCCCAGGGAACAATCCGTGTGCACTCGCAACTACCTACTGTACACTGATCGCACACACAGTGTCATTTGTTAAGGAGAAACCAGGAAATTTTGGCAAAATGCTATTGAATCAGGAGGCAAGATATGTTAATGACGTGCAAATTTATTAACCTTCTCCAAAACAAAATGCAACAGTGGTTTTGCCGACATATTACCATAAACTCTGCGCAGCAAAACATTCCTGCTGTTACCACGAACTGTCTGTGCTGTTGCACTTCACCAATGTAGCAGATTTTGACTCCAAGAACACTTCTGCTATGACAGCAATCTTTCTGCCCCTGAAGTCGAGCTCAACCAATCACATTTCAAGAGGTTTAAGCTCAGGTGTACTTGGGAGATCAATAACTAATGGGATACCTATGCGTCTGAATCTCTCCAGAACTTTTTATTGAAAACCCAACTTTCCATCTACAAGCGTGAATTTTACTTTCTAAATAACAGGGATGAGCAACAGGCCTTATAGGTTTGTGTTTGGCTGTGGCTGTGTGTTTGGGATCATCATTTGCAGAAAAAGAAATCATTCACTCCGATGGGTCTTACGAACGATTGTGCACAGCACTGAGGAATGCACGATACACAAAAGGAGTGCTGGTTAAAACACCATTATCCCAGGGCTTTGTAAAGCTCCAAGTGTCTTCAGACACTTCTTTCTTACACCAGCAGCCTTTGTTCACGCAAAGTCACTTTTCCGAATCTCCCGACAGTGAACCAGCATCAAAGGGACACTGCTGTGGATTCTCCTGGCTTGCCTGGTCGATTCAGGGCTGACTGCGGTCCTCAGCTCTACCTTCAAACAGCTGGCTCGTGCCCGGCTTCCACACCCCTCCGGTCTCAGCGAGGCCAGGTGCTCTCCGAGTGGTCTCCTGTCACCTGCCTGAGGAGCAGCCATGCGACCCCAGGTCAGTGAGGTAAAGGGTAGAAATCGCTACCATTATGTTCCATTTCAAATGGATAATTAATAAATTCATTACTTTGGAAGCTGCATTAATCCTATATTCCCTTCTTATTTTTAATAGCCAGTGCATGCAGCTCGTGGTTGTAAGACTGCATTCCTGCCTTTCAAAGGAAAAATAATCTTCGTTCATTACAGATCAACATTTTATGACGTGAAACGCAAAAGGTCTAATTATTAAAATCCCCCTTTCGCTGCATTTAATCATTTGCTTTCAAAATTAGAAAGAAATAATTGAATTCACTCTTCTCCTAATCCATGGAGGTTTAACAACAACTGGATTTTATTAGAACATTCAACAATACCACAGAATCCCACTGGATTAAACCCAGCATGTATTTTGAGAGGTTATCCCAGGATAATCCCAGCGAGATGCCCAAGGCAGTCCAGAAGGATTCCCTGGAGCTCCAATAGGCTTGTGTGCAAGCCAGCGCTGGACGACATCCCAGCTGGACATAAGGTGCTCATCGCACGGCCACTCCTGACTCACCCGATACAATCCGCCAGCAGCACCCCTCTTTAACACAAAGAATCATCCCTGTCTTTCACAAGAGCATCACAAGCAATCCAACAGCACTGAACATTGCCGTGTTCGCATGGGTTTCCTCCTGGCACTCCCGTTTACTCCCACAGTCCCAAGACAAGCTGGCGGGCCCTGTGAGGGACTGTCCTGTCCTGCCCAGGGTGTACCCTGCCTTGTGCCCCGAGAGAGACTGGCCTCCTGCCCAGGGTGTACCCTGCCTTGTGCCCCGAGAGGGACTGGCTTCCTGCCCAGGGTGTACCCTGCCTTGTGCCCCGAGAGGGACTGGCTTCC